CCCATCAACAAGGTGAAGTATCATAGCGATGAAGATGGAGAATAGAGTTGGGGCAATAACACATCCCTGTTTGACACCGGATTCCACTTTAAATGGGTCACTTTGGGAGCCACTGCTGTCCAAGACTGTTGCCATCATGTCATCATGGAGGAGCCGCAGGATGTTCACAAATTTGTTAGGGCACCCGATTTTGTGGAGGATGGTCCAGAGAGCGCTGCGGTTCACTGTGTCGAATGCCTTTGCAAGGTCGATGAATGCCATGTACAGAGGTTGGTTTTGTTCCCTGCATTTTTTTGGAGCTGTCGTGCAGTGAAGATCATGTCCACGGTTCCTCTGGAGGGGCGGAAGCCGTTCTGGGATTCTGGGAGGGTGTCTTCTGAGAGGGGCAGAAGGCGGTTTGCAAGGATTCTTGCGAGGATTTTCCCAGCGGAGGTTAGAAGGGAGATACCTCGATAGTTTCCGCAGTCTGTTCTTTCCCCTTTTTTGAAGAGGGTGATGATGGTGGCGTCCTTGAAATCTGCTGGGATTTTCTCGGTCACCCACACTTTTTCTATGAGCTGGTGGAGTTGGTGTGTCAGCTCAGGTCCTCCCTCTTTAAAGATTTCAGCAGGGATCCCATCTGGTCCACTGGCTTTGTTATTCTTCTGTTGGCTGATGGCATTGCTGACTTCTTCCAAACTAGGCAGTGCTGCAAGCTCATCCCTGGTTTGTTGTTGTGGGATTTGTGAGAGGACCTCTTCGGCCACATTGGAGCTGCGGTTCAGGAGGCTTGGTAGTGTTCTTTCCAACGTAGTGCAATTGAGTTTTGGTCCTTCAGGAGTTTGGTTCCATCTGATGAGCGTAGAGGCTGTATGCCATGGTTTCTTGGTCCATAGATGACCTTTGTGGCTTTGAAAAATCCCTGAGCATCATGGGTATCTGCCAGGTGTTGGATTTCTTCAGCCTTCTTTGTCCACCAGATGTTCTTGAGTTCTCTTGTCCTTCTTTGGACCTCAGCTTTTGCACTGGCATAGATCTTTTTCTTAGCAGCACAGTTGATGTCTCTCTGCCATGCTGGAAGGCTTTCCTTTTCTTGTCAATTAGCTGTTGGATCTCGATGTCATTTTCATCAAACCAGTCTTGATGTTTCTTGGCTTGGTATCCAATAGTTTCTTCGCAGGCTTGGATGATGGAGGTCTTCAGTTTGTTCCAATGTTCCTCGACATTTTCGGGGTGTACTGTGGGTAGATGGTCCTTGAGTGCTGTTTGGAGATGGGCTCGTCTGGAGGGCTCCTGAAGGGCTTGGGTGTTCATTTTGCGCCTTGTCTTCCTTCCTTGGAGTCTGCGCTTGGGAGCGATCTTGATAGCCATCGAGGATCGAATTAGCCTGTGGTCAGTCCCGCAGTCGTCAGCACCTTTCATGGCTCTTGTGAGGAGCACATCACGGCGGTCTCTGGCGTGTGATTACATAGTCTAAGAGGTGCCAATGCTTTGACCGGGGGTGCTTCCATGATGTCTTGAACTTGTTTTTCTGGCGGAAGAGCGTGTTGGTGATGACAAGGTTGTGCTCCACACATTTGGTGAGAAGCAGGATGCCATTTGAGTTGCTGTTTCCAACCCCGTCTTTTCCGATGGTCCCTGGCCACAGGTCGAAGTCTCGCCCGACTCTTGCATTGAAGTCCCCCAGGAGGATGATTTTGTCCTCCTTAGGTATCCCCGATAGGACGGTGTCCAGCTGACAGTAGAATTTCTCCTTGATGTCTTCGTCAGCATCTAGTGTTGGTGCATAGGCACTTATGATGGTTGCCCGTTGGTTTTTGGCAAGATCGATTCGGAGGGTTGAGAGTCGTTCGTTGATGCCAGTGGGTGCTTCGGACAGATGTTTCATCAGATCATTTCTGATGGCGAAGCCAACTCCGTGCATTCTTTGGTCTTTTTCGGGCAGTCCCTTCCAGAAGAAGGTGTAGCCTCCTTTTTCTTCCTTCAGCTGTCCCTCTCCTGCTCTCCGGGTCTCCTGAAGGGCTGCTATGTCAATGTTGAAGCGTCCCAGCTCCCTTGCAATGATGGCAGTTCTGCGTTCGGGGCGTTCACTGCCACTGTTGTCCATCAGAGTCCGTACGTTCCACGTACCGAAGTTCATTTTACATTTTTTGGCCGCAGGGTGGTGACCCCACTGGATGCGGCAGTCCAGTCAGGGATAAGTGAGGCAGACTATGTTTAGGGCACCTTTTCTAGCCCCCTCCCCATGTGGGGTGAGCAGAGTGGGTCCTCAAAAGGGCTGCTCAGTCGCGGATACAGCTGCCGAATTACTCAACTGCCTCGGACCTTGAGGTAGAACGACTGAGTCCGTACCCACCGCCCATGTGCCAGTCTGTGACTAGGGGCTTCCTGATTTCACAGTCCTGCCCCCGTCGCCACTCGCTGATCGCCATGGGACTTTGGTTGCTTGGTTTTTATTTTCTTTGGAAGACGCCTGTGCGTGGGTTTTTTAATGTGTGGAGGTCAGTGCACAACTGATCAACACACAGACTTCACAGAGTGAGGTTCCACTGGTGATGTAGTTTAACACAATGACCGTGGCTTCTCAGTCTGTTGCAGCCTTCTTCCGCCTTCGCAGCCGTTGTAACATGTACCATGTTATCCTCCGCCTGCTCCGCCGTTGAGGTCTTTGGGTCTTCGGACTGTGCTTGGTCTGGAACCTCCCCCGCAGCCACTCCTGGGAGTGCACGACTCCAGTTGTTGTACCTACAGGTTCATCGGAACGCGCAAGCCCCCTCACCACGACAAGGTGACAGTCCATCGAGGGGGAATCTGCAGTGCATACAGTTCCTAGTTCTGTTTGTCCCCATTATCATGACACATTCATGAACAAGGGTGAACCATTTTTATAAGAGAAGTGAAGTGAGCACATTAAAAAGCTCTCTGACAGACAACTAGACAAGATCTGTATGGGTTAATGTATTGTCAAAGGCTTTCATGGCTGGAATCACTGGGTTGTTGTCGGTTTTTCGGGCTGCATGGCCATGGCCATACAGCCCGAAAAACCTACAACAACTCTGTATGGGTTAATTTTCTAGACCACTTTCCCATTGTGTGTGGGTTCCAATTCATGTGTGAGGGGATAAACCAGTGTTGGTAATGTAATGGAGAGGAGAATGTGGTTTGATTTAGAGTGGAGAGTGAGAGCTAAGGAAAAACTGAAGGAATTTGTTACCACTTCTCCAATGTTATAACCCCTTCCAACCCAATGCTTTCTCTTGATTAATCACATCCATCACATCCATATAACATGTTTTTGCTTCCCAATTCTTTGAAGTGTTATAAAATATGACCATATGGCAGTAAAAATAACAGATGACTTTGAATGAGATGTGCAGGAACTCAGAGTAAAGCAGTAGTATCTAGAAACCATACTATGGTTGATCTTGAGTAAGGATAAATTTAAAGCCAACGCAAGGCATAAAGCAATTGGCTTGGAAAGCAAGGCTACCATTTGTGATAACGGTGTGCCTCTGTACGTATGGGAAGCAGGAGATACACACACACATATATACATACATATATACAGTAGAGTCTGGCTTATCCAACCTTCACTTATCCAATGTTCTCTATTATCCAACACAGTCCTGGGTGGGAGAAAGAAAGAGCCTTTGTCTGTTTTGGTGCTAAATGTGTAAATACAGTAATTACTACACAACATTACTGTGCATTGAACTGCTTTTTTCTGTTTATTTGTTGTTAAAATATGATGTTTTGGTGCTTAATTTGTAAAATCATAATGTAATCATAGCATAATTTGACAATTAATAGGATTTTCCTTAATCCCTCCTTATTATCCAACATGTTTGCTTATCCAAGATTCTGCCGGCCTGTTTATGTTGAATAAGTGAGACTCTAGTGTGTGTGTGTATACATACACACACACACATATGTACAGTATGGCACTCAAAAATTCACTTTGGAGTCCTCCAAAACAAAGGACATGGGCATCTGTTTTAATAATGCACTCCTCCTAACAGGTTCTTCTAATGAAAATGTGATTTTTGTATTGAATGGAATAGAAAAGGTAAGGTTAAATCATAAGTAATTATCTAACAGGAAGGATGGATTTCTGTCTTCTTACATTCCTTGCCTATCCGTAAAGCAGCTGAGCTGGTACAATGTAACCTCCTGATTTGAAAACATATCAGATAGCATTAACATCATGGGCCGTTAACAAGAAAGTATGTAAATGTGGTTGGTCCTGAATATAAGACAGAATTTTGGGTGCAGCCTTGGCAGACAATGTATACGTATTTCTTTGGGAAAGCCCCTTTGAACTGGGGTAAAGGGAGATGAAGCAATGTATTGATGTAGAAGACAAATTACACCAAGGGAAATCAAGATGGACCTGAAACAAAGCAGCCTTTGAATCCAAATTAAGAAAGTAAAGAGAGCTGAATCGCATCCTTAGTAGTTTCTCACTGGCATGCCACTTTTCAAGATCATTTTGCTTAGAAAGGCAGCTATGCATCTGGCCCATAATAAAAGGTGGCATCTTCCTATGTGTTTTGTTCTCAACATGTTACATGCACAGTTCTGCAGCAATTATTATGATTTTATTTTATTTATTCTTTTCTCCCACTTGAGATGCTTTAAGGACCTTGCTTACATAAATAGTTATGGAATAAATAAAGCCGAACACACTACTGACAACATCTCTTGGAATGATGATAATTATAGATTACCTACTGCACGACAGGCAAATATATGATAGGCCTAAAATGATATGATTAGATAAACCTCTTTAAAATAGTAATTCACATTAGGACTTCTAATAATTTGCTATACTCAACGTTGCTATTTCTAAACTATGAATTTCAGGATATGTTGCTATTCTTTCTTTCTGTATATGTGTGTGTGTGTTTCTTTTCCTGCTGTACACAGTATTTGTGGGCTATGGCAACCAATCCCCTTGGGCTTTCTTTTGCCTTAATTTGCATAAACACAGGCATCATATGAATATTCAGTGAGTGGCTTTGCATTAAGTAAGTGCCCTTAATCAGCTTTTCAGTTCAGTTTTATTGGTTGCACCACAGTCAGTTATTTCATCCAGAAAATCTGAGGGCCCTACAAAGCTAAGCAGGTAAGAATTGTAATTCTTTTTATGCATTTAATGAAAGAGTATTATCATTTGATTATATAGGTTCGGGGGAATGCTTAAAGATTGGTGGTTGTGCTTTTGGTTTTGTTTTTCATATGCATGGTTTTGGGTTTCTTTTCCTCCCCTTCTTCCCATTATTAACCCATGGTGGTCAGGTGGGCATACGCTTCTGAAATTTGCATAAACATCAACTCTCAATGAATAATTCATTAGGGTTATTTTAAACACTAGCTAGCTAGGCTTCTACTTTGGATGGCTCTATAACATCGCAGTTTGATTGGCTGTATAGTGTTTTCATCACCAGCAGAATTCCTATAACATAAAAGCCACTTAAAAAAAAGAGCAGCTGGGTTGAATGTAGTGTATTAGGACGAGTCTGCTCATGTATTCTCTGGGTTTTTTCCTTCTTTCCCAAAGCAAATTGTACAATGGTTTCTGTCCAGCTATTAGTATATCTCAGTTTGTGTTGTGGGTAAGTTTGTTTTTGAGGGGTGTGTGGGGAAGAAAAAATTAAAAATGCCATTTTGGAAGAGATTTCCAATGGCACCTTGTCCTATTTCGTTGATTGCCATGGCCATTGCCATCGTATTTGCTTTTAACTTGCATAAACATGAGCCACATGCAAATGAGATGCCATTGAACTCCTACTGCTAAACGCTGTGCTCTTATCTTCGGTACTGTACACTGTTACTTTACCGTTGGCGTTTCCAGTGAGTACCAGTATGATGGAGGGCAGCGTAATTACTCCAAAAATAGGATTTCTGAATGACATTGATAGGCAGAAATGGATCATTTTAAAGCCATGAGAAAGGAATGGGTTAATGAAATGACAAAACACTGGAACATTAGAGGACAACACCTTTGTGAGGAATCCATGACACTTCTTGTTTTTCTCATCTAGTACACTGAGGTCAAGAGTACATAATTTTATTTATATGTGTGTATGTGTGCGTGTGTGTGTGTGTATGTACACATCAGAATGAAACCATTTCCAGTGCAGAATCCCCTATTCCAAGTTGTTTGTATACATAGCTCTGCTTGAGAATTTTAACAAAAACAAGATTACTGATTATAACAATTCCAATTGAAAACAGGACTTAATAAATAATAAAAAGAAGCAACTGTTTGGGATATTCTGGATCCATTTGGGTAAAAGTCATTATATTGACAGCTAGTTTAATCCAAAGTGGATTTGATATTTATGTGATTATTTAACAATGCTTTATGCATGTTAATGTACCAGAGTAATTTAATACAGAACATGCAGATATGTATAGATGTAGCATAACCTTTTATCTAGGAATCTTACTTAATCCAAATACAGAAAGACCTTTCAAGGTCTGGTAACAATTATACTCGGGAATCTAAGGGGGAAAAAATCCCAAGAGATAAAAAAACAATATTATTATTATTATTATTATTATTATTATTATTATTATTATTATTATTATTATATTATTTCATTTAGCCAGGGTAACCTTCTTCCTTAATAACACTTTGGTTATTATAGTAAAATCAATGATATTTTCAATTAACGCTGATTAGAGTTCTTCCATAACATAGATATTTGGGGGGAAAAATAACTACCTCTTTGCCAGGTTATTCTTACCCAGCCCACTCCAGCTTCTCAGAGCATGAAACATTAAGAAAGGATAAAATGGAGGGATGTTTAAAGGAGAACAATGGAAATATCTGCTATGGTCAAAGAAGATGACCATAGGAGAAATGCAGAAAAATTAGAAATATTTTAATTAAATTTCTTTTGCCAAGTTCATAAAATTAGAACTTGTAGGATTTAATAAGCCACTGTGCATTTAATCCTTGGCCATTAGATGTTTAGTGCTGTAATAAATGCCAAGACATTTTAAATGCTTTAAAAAGAAATTGTAGCAATAGTAATTCAGACAAATAGATACACACACACTGGCCATTTGGAGAAAAGATAAAATAAACTACAAAAACACTCCTAGCATAATAAAAAATGTACGCAGGTTGTAATTTTTGGATTAAATGTCTGATTACTATTCAGATCTTATTAACAGAAAGAAAAAAATCACTAATTTTATGACTGTCCACATATAAGTTTCTGTCATATTTTCCCAAAGGAGTTGATGGATTTATTAAAATATGACTAGCAAAGTACATCCAGAGGAAATAAAATTAAAAGTATAACATTTTAATCCTTTTCTAAGGCTTCCTGTGCTTCTTAATCAAGCTGAATTGCTCAAACTCACTGTGGTTTCTGACCTTACACATGGCCTAACCTAAGACAGGGACAGTCAGCAAATAATTGTGAAGGATATTGGGTGTATATAACGCGAAACACAGCATTGATACAGGTGTCATTGCAGGTAAAGAGAAACAGGTGAAAATTTTAGGACTGGAATTTATGATTTATTGGAAACAAAAGAGAACATTTTGTCTCTCTTGTTTAAATGTATGTGTAATCAATACTCAAAACTACAAGATCCTGACCATGAACAGCATCAGGTTTAAAAGATTATCTATTAAAATGTTATAAGAAATGCACAATAGGAGCGTTTCCTGTGAAATGTCAACTTCAGTCACAAGTAAAGATAAGAATGTGTTCAAATGCTGGCTTTATAAATCAATAAAACATTTCACAATAATCTCCAATACCCGGCAACCAATTAAATTTTACTGATCAAGAGCACAGTTTGTTTTAACTCCTCCTTTACACTGCTCTTGGGTTTCAGTTTATCGGTAACCATAGTATTTTTGATATTTCTTCTTTGGAAACTATGATCAACCACCATGATAGAGAGCTTTACGGAAATACCTTTACCCACAGTGTTCTCTGGTGTGAAAGGATGGTGGTCTGTTTTGAGTTTTATTGTGCAGAGCTATTTATATAGAAAAATGTCTATGAGAACTACTTGCCTATTTTTAGGGAAACAAACGAATGATAGTGGCAAGGCTTTTTGTGTATTAGAAATAGTCAATTGTATGGCCATCCGCAATGAGACATTAACTCATTCACTTGACCACAGTAAGTGGTCAAGTGAATTTTAAAAATCGCCTTTTCTCATCCTAAGAGGTTGTCCTTGTTTTGCATTGCATGCAGTGGCTTGCAATATGAACTGTTCCTTTCTAATTCAAGGTTGCTTCCCAAAGCACAACTAAAGCTTGCCATGAAAATATTCTTGCAGGTTATCTTTCCTTGACAGCCACAGAGACACTTACCAAGCTGCTCCTAGGTCCTTGGCCTTATCCATAGTGCCAGGGTGTGTGCATGTATGTAAATGTATCCTTGTATAATTTCCAATGACTTAAAAGATGGAATCCTAAAAAGGCATACAAAGGACTTAAGTTACCAGGAAGATCAGTGGTAGAACATGTTCCTTGAATATAGATGTTCTTCATTCACCAGTATCACCAATAGGAACAAATTCTGCCTGGTAACCTGGAGAGACACTGCTAGTTAAGAAATGGGGGAGGACTAGAGAAAAGCGAGGTGGAGAAGATAAAGGGTTTTTTCCTCTCATTTGTTTTCACCCAAGGTATGCATCCCCAGAAATTACTTCAGTAAAGATTTGTCATGGAAAAACCCAGTAGATGCCACAGCCAGAGGTCTCGCTTTGCCTGCGACTACATAAGGCCTCAAGAGAGACTGAAGTGGAGATTTTAAAACTAAGGTATTTCTGGCCAATGTGAGAAATCTCTACGGGGCCAGGGCTATTGGGGAGAAATTATTCTATGCATATATTTAGGCTTAATTTAGCTTTTCAAAATTTAAAACTTTTTTGGTTGGAAATTTTAGGAAGCTAGTGCACATCTTTTGTGTTACTTTTTTTTTTTTGGCCTTTTCCGGTTGATGGTTTTAAGCTCTTGCATTTTACACTTGAAGGATTTTTTCCCCTCATACTATAGTTATAGGGGAAAGGGGTAAATCAGAGATATAAAATTATTTTCTTGTTGTTATGTGATGTACTTATGAAAAGCCCCAAGATACACCTATCATTGGGTTTTCTTGGCAAAATTTGTTCAAAGGCAGGTCACTCTTGCCTACCTCTGACTTGCCCAGTATCCCACTCAAATAGTTAAAGTATTACAGCAAGCTGACTCTCATAAATATAATTATCAAAAAGTATTCATAAATCTTTCCATCTTTTTATTTGTAATAGAATAAATGCCAACCTTCAGCCTTTGTTTCTGCTAGTGAAACAGGATGTGCTTAAAATAAACTCTAAATCAGTCATACTTCACATTGCTGAAATTATGAGGATGGTTTTGATTATGATGATTCGTCAGAACTAGTTTAGTCTTCCTAAACTTTTAAAAAGCAGTACTAGTTTGGTTATAGGTTTAGTCAGCGGAATCCTATTGAAATCACCAGCTGAAATAATGATATAATAGCCAACAGTTTAATATCAGACTAAACTAGATCCGAAGCCAAAAAGCACTACTTTGAGCCATTAAAATCAGGATAAATGTGAACCCCAGTAAATAAATGTGAACCCCAATGGGTCTACTCTTAGTATAACTGAATCTGGAATAAATCCAATGTCATAACATTAACAACAAGATGGTAAAACAACTTTTTAGTAGAATCATGTTTTTATAATGCAGATAATTGACCTTTTTTGCTGAATTCTATTCTAGAATATCTGTACGTAGCCCTACCAAAATTTGAGCATATGAGAATCATCTTACCAGATCTACCTCTCATCTTCACCCCATAATCTACTATACATATGATCTGATTGAAGTGTTTTGCATACCCATGCATTTGATAAGATTAATATTTCTAGGTAACATCGGAAAATGAGGCTTGAAATTTTCAGCATGAATATTTTGTTCATTTCAGATTTTACTTAGATCTATCAATCTCTAGACTTTACTGGTTCTTCCTAAATTTTACATTTCAGTTTTTTGAAGAAAAAACAACAACAACAAAACAAACTAGCATATGGCAATGTGTGATGTGCCCATGGAGGGTTGCTAAAACAGCTGATGAGTGGGCAGACTATAAGTAACAAGAATAAACTATTCCATTAAAATTTAATTGAACTGCATTATATGAACCTACACTGATCATATAATGCAGTTTCAAAACTGTATGATTTGGCAGTGTTGATGTATCCATGGTTTGCATGAACTCTCACATTTATAATCAATTTTTTTTTTAAAAAAAATTAATCCCACAGGTTCATGCTTGTTATGGATGATTATTTGGTGTGAAGAGTCTAAACATTACTCTGTTTTAATATGAATTGAAAATATTGTTTGTTTTCAGTTGTATGATGGTTTAGAAGTTATTAAAATGCAACAATCATGTAGGTAACATAATACATATAGAATGTGATAAAGATAAGATGTGTATCTATATTATGGGTTCTATAAGAAATCTTGAGAATGCTCTAACTTTGAATTCATGCAGTATATCAAGTCAGTTGGCCTACAGCTCTACCTCTAGATTCATTTGGCTTTAAACATTGGTTCAACAATTCTCATTGCCTCTATCAGCCTCTCAGGGCGCATCCACACAGCACCTAATGCCCTCCCGTGTTTTTACGTGGAGCGCCCAAATGACGCCTCAGGTAAAAGCGAATTAATTTGGGACAAAGCAGGAAAATCCTGCTTTGTCCTAAATTAATTTGACATATGACAATACCCGGGTCTTTCAGAAGACCTGAGTCTTTCCAGCTGTGGGTGCTTTGTGGATTGGGCCCGGGGATCGCATTTCACGACTTCTGGTCCCAATCTACACAGCTGTATCAAGATTTTTGGGCTACTGGAGCCTGAAAAGCCCAAGACAGCCCCCACTCCTCCCAACCTCCCCTTTAAAACCCTTTAAAAGTAAAAAAAATATTACTTACCTGGCAGGCATTACTCTGCTGCCAGTCCTTTCCTGGTGCATAGACATGATGTGCCAGGAAAAGGGGTGAGGAGTAATTTTCCTCCTTCCCCCTTCTCTTGCCGCATCATTTCTATGCACCAGGAGAGGACCAACAGCAGGGTAATGCCACACAGGCAAGTAATTTTTACTTTTAAAGGGTTTTCTGTGGGGGAGGGTGTTGGTGTGTGTGGTACCTGTACACCCCTCCCCCCAGGAAAGTGTGGGTTTTTTTTTTTTACCAGTGTGGAGACAGAAATCCGACCTGACCCAGATTTTTTAAACCCAGGTCGGACCAGACTTTTCTCCTGTCTGGAACTGCCCTCAGTTTCATCACCGGCATATCCCGAGAGATGCTTGTAGAACTAACACTGATTTTCTCTTATGAGAACAATTTTTTTTCATAGCACTTCTAGTGACCCAGAGCAAGTTAACTTACTACTACAAACAAACCATCATGGTCCTTGAAGTACAACACTGTCATGCAGTATGTAAAATTTGGGAGAATGTTATTCTTTTATTCCTCACTTAGAAAAAAGTGATTACTGACATGCAGGAAGCATTTTGAAACCATTAGCACACCATTTTATTCTACCATAATGCATTTGTAGTCATCTAATTTTCTACAAAAAAAATCTCTATTTTCTTCTGACAGCATCAAAAATCTGAGTACTTTTGAAGACATTTTCCTGCAAACTGCTGATAATCAGGATTGGAATTGAAAATGCTGACAGATTATTAACAATAGAAAAATAGCTATAATACAGTGGGGGCATTTTACCATAATGAATGAATTGTTAGCATATCTAGAGTTTCATAGCTGATCAGACTCATATAATTTCAGTTTCTCTAAATACTAACAATTCAAATTATTATTAGAGCTTTTCTTCTCACAAAGAGAGCAGGTCTTATTAAGCATGTTTCAGCTCTGTATTGGCACAATTCTGTAAGAACAAAAGATAAGCAGCACTGCTCCATCTTACAGATTGTTTCATATACAGAATAAAGGTTGCCTTCTGCTAAAGGAAAAGTGGAAATGCTTTTTAAACTTTGAACTACATTGCCTTTATTGCCCATTTAAGTTTTTTCAAGGGCTATACAAAATAGGACATATAGATTCTGTATTGGATCTTAAAATAAAATGGATTCCATTTTTCCAACTGTTATTTTCCATGAGACAGTTTTCATTATTATTTAAAAAAAGAAATAATTTTGAAATACAAACTATCTGCTAATATCTCATATAACATATTCAGTTTTGTAGCATATTTTTCAATCATTTTTTCTTAAACATCTTCCTGAGAACCCCCAGTCTTATTTTATAAACTTGAGGCTGGAGGATAATGATGTGGCTGTGTCAGAATTCTGTTGCCATGCTTGAATCCTGACTTCTCACATTCCTGCCCTTGAACAATTCTTATTCTGATGTATCCTAATGGGTAGAATGGAATTTTATGAGCATGAATAGCTGTTTGAGTTATAAGGCATTTTAAGATCTCATAACTGACTTCCATAAGTTGTGGTGCTTTGAGGATATCTAGTTCTTATTTGTTTTACAGTAAATGTAACTTGCTCATGGTATCTCCCAATTCTACAAGATCTAGCATATGGTGTGGGGAAAAACAGATAGAATGCTATCATTTTGATGGAATCTGATGAAAAAGGCTGAGATGAAAACAAAACTAGAAGGAATAGAAGGCTGGGGATTTTTAAAAAAATTGAAAACAGTGTGAAAATATTAAGTAAATTCAGAATGACTTCTCTTTTTAGTTTTATCCCTCCTTGGGAATCTTGGGATAGCTGCATTTCGAGGGGAGAGAAAACTGAAAACCAAAAAAAAAAAAACCAAAGTGACCTATTATTCTTTTCTTACATAAGGTTTAGAAAATATTTTTATCTCTTGTTGGCAATAGGGTTCTATAGAGCATTATAGTATATGGACCAGTGACAGAATCAGATCTTTTGAACTACTAGTTCCCTAAACTAATGTCTCCCAGAGAGTGAGACAGATTTTGAGTTGTTAACTGTAGGTTTTGATAATTAATAGGCTTGGTTAAGCATTAGACGTTTATGAACAGTAATTATAGTTGGGGAAGTTATGTTATATAGTAGGATGTAGAATCATTGTTAGGAAAGTTGGAAGTTAAATGAAAATTAATTTCTTCCTGCTCTTTGCTGTTCTTTTTTCTTTTCCTCTTATTATGTTTTCCTTATTTAACTTTCTTTTGTTTATATATTATTACTTTTTCATTGCTTTTACTGCATTGAAAATTATCTAATACAAATATTACTTCGAGTTTTCAGTCATTAGTTATAGGCTTCAGAAATGCTGGTAGTAGATATCTGGGCAATTAGGAAAGTAGACTCCTTCTTTGAAACAAGAAGGAGCAACTATAGACCATATCAGATGGCCATTTGCAAAGCAGGGGAAATCATGGGACAGTGGAGGGAATTGTCAGACTGTGTTCCCTATTGTTGGTGTCCGTTGTACCTCTCTGTCCTCTACTTCTTCAGCTCCTCTGGCTTTTTTCTAGGAGGAGTCAGATGTTTATCTGGCTCCTCTGGGCTCAGCTTCAGCATTGCTGCCTGCACGGAGCCACACAGAGTCCCACCGGAAGTAGCCTTGTGTTATGTGATGGGCCCCAAAGGACTCTGTGCCAGGAGCAGAGAGAAGTGAGGAGAAGACACTTCTCTCCTTGCATATGATGAGGTCCTTTGTCAGGGACCATTTTTCACTAAAAGATTTACAAATTAAAATTAAAATGCAACCCAAAAGTTTATTTCCAGCTGGCACTTTGG